ATTTCAATTACGTTTAATAACAACACCCAAAGTGTAGTACAATAAATTATGGTAATGGTGTACCAAGAAATTTTTAGAATAAGTAATGAGAAAGCCAAATTATTTTAATCAAGTTGATCAAATTTTAAGTAGAACACACTGGATAATTATAAACCACAATTAACAAAAAACTTATTTGTTTATTAATAACTCCTGACCGCATGACTGGTTGCTCTTTATTACGAATTACTTTACTATGTGAATTTGTTTAAAAAATATAATTATAAAGATAATTAAGTTCTTTTAAAATTTACTTTTAATTCTTTTATAATTTATTTCTAATGATCTTGTTTAATGTGAGAATTAACACTACACTAGGCATGAAGGTTTATATTAAGATATTTATCTTTAAGACAATTTTAAGTAGGTAATGATTAATTATTTGTTGTGAATTTTGGAATATAGAAATTTAAAATACAGTTACTGTTTTCTGTGGTCAATAGCTGCTGCAGCGTTCTGTATAATTTTATTATAGAAACGTAAGTATGGGATTAAGTAGGTTTATTAAAAACGACAAGTTTGTAACCCACGTTTTTAAAGTATTCGCTACAAATATGTTTTGCTTTAAATCTTTTTATCTACTCCTTTATTGATGACCTGTGACTTTATGGCCTTTTAGTAACGGGCTGAAGTTAACAACAGTGGGTTTTGGGCATTTTAGTCACGGGCTTATTAACCGTCCTAAAGTTAATATTGAGAATTAAATTTAAAAAGTTTGTTAGGGTGTAACATTACAAATAAATTAATTAAATAAAATGTTTTTGAGTAGCATCGGAGGGACTCGGGAGTGCACTGCCCCTTTACCCTCCCTGTAGCAGCCGCCACTGTTTATGAATTAAAATTGGCTTTAAATTCTTATTTCTATTCGTCGTAGATAAATTATAGTATGCAACTCATTTTATAAACTTCTCTAGACACTCGTTTTTATTAAACACTCGCTCGCAAGATTCGCTCGTGCCTAATGAAACTCGTAACTAAAATGGCGTTTATAAAACTTGATACATAATATACTATTTTATTAAAGATTAGTATTATGCACTTGGTTGTAAATCAAAACCAAGTGTAGCAATACTATAGATGTTTAAACCGGACTTTTTTAAGAAAAAAAGTTTTTGTCTTCAACCAATTTTATGATTTCATAAATTTCATCGGCGTTGCACCACCACACTCTTTAAAGTTTCCTATCAATTGGTTTGTTGTTGTTGCAACAACTTGTTGTTGTTCTTCTCCTTCTGTTGATCTTGGCCTTTAATCAAAAAGGTCTATTCGTATAAGTGTCCGAAACAGTCTAAAACAGTCAGAAGCCTGCGCCATAGGTTTTAAAAAACCTGGATTATGAAGTAACATAAGGGTCCATTAACCCATGCGAGAAATTTAAGCACTGCGTATGTGAAAGGCATGATTATTATAAATTTATGATCAATAAATTTGTCTCTGTAGTCCTATAAGTAATTTTTTACTTTAATATTCCACCTAATAACAATTACAAGAATATCGTCTAGAATAAAACTTATATCTTTCTTTCACAGGATTTAATTAATTTTCATGTAAAAACCTTTTCCGCGTCTCCCAGACTCCTATACATTTATTACATTTAACAAACCAAATTAAATGTAGATATGTGTGCCATTTTTCTTTTGGTGACCGATCAGAACTCAGACAAAATTTTTTTAGTATTAATTCCTCATTGGAATAATTTGTTACTTCATTAATTTCTCACTGCAAAATTTCTCAGTACACTAATTTTGTACTGAAATAATTTCTCATTGTATTAGTTCCTTATTGCAATAATTTATCACGATATTGTGAAAATGTTAAAAGAATTCTAGGTTGTATTAAAGTCTACTTAAAAGACATATCCAAATTTTAGAAAGATTAAACGTCTGGTTTTCGAGTCAAAAATTATTAAAGTTGCCTTGAACTGACCCAAAACTAAGTACAATCCGGACTCCCCTGATTAATTATTGCTAGGTTTTTGTTACAGATTTGCGTATTAGGTCATGCATTGATACTTATCCGATTATGCAGATGATGGCCCTTTCCACTCTTGCTTAGACTCGTTTTTTTTATAGGTGATTCCTTGACCTGTCCCCTGTCACTTTATTACCTTCGTGTCGGACCTCACCCCTGCGTTCACCTGTTGAGAGATTGCCTTTGGAGGAATTATTTAATGTTTCTATTAAGCATTTGGAGAACAGGTACCCTAATTTTACCTGCACAGGTGTGTAGTAAACCAAACTAGTAGCACTTTTCGCACCGCACTTTACTCGAATACGCTGTATATTAGCGATTTTTATGTTTCTTTTAGAATTTTATTGTGGATAGGTACTAAGAGCGCTCGAACTCACACATCTAATCTCTTCCCCGTCTGATTTGAAACTGAATTTTGTTAGGAGTTATTTTTGCATAAAATTTTTTGCTTTAAGAAATTTTTGTATCGAAAACAGTTTTGGGAGAGAAATTTTTGCTTTGGAAATTTGTTGTTGAGAAATTTTTGAAATGGGAATTTTTTACAATAAGAAATTTTTGCTGAGAAATTATTTTTGAGAACATTTATGACTTTGAGCCTTCCCTTTTTTCTAACTTAAAAACAATTTACCATTTCGGTCCTAAGCCCTTGTAAATGCAAATTTTTTTGGGATACACAGACGTTTATTAATATTAATTGTAGGTATTAAGCTGGTTTACATAAAATAATATATTTATAAATTATTTTATTATCTTAATAAAAAATAAAAAAAATTCTTAACGCCAATACATATTTGAAAAGTTTATATGGTTTATATGGAAGTCTGTACTGACCTTTTGATTTTGCCGGCAGTAAACTAGATTTAACTGAAAGCATTAAAAAATTCGAGGGGAGACTCCACCATGAAGTGCCCATAAAATATTATTTTTAATTTCACTGTGAAAAACGGCTTCTATATCATCATTTAAACGGTTGTTACTCCATTTTTAAGGGATAAATTTCGATTTACACATACAAATTTTGACTGGACTACCAGTAATACAGATCCCAAGTTGGAAATTGTTACGCGATTTTTGTATAGATGTCGCTCTATGGAAATATTTAATTTAAATCATTTTTAGACAATAATAAGTATTTGTAAATAAATGGTAATACTGTAGTCGATTTGTCATCCGACATGTTAAACTGTTTAAGTTAAATGGAGTTCAACTTAAAAAATCAATTATGTAAAAGTAAGGCTGAAATACTGCATTTTATAAGCATTCTTAAAAGTCAAGATACATATTACAATACCCACTTAAGGAATACATGTCAATATATGACAAAATCTAATTTTAAATTTTAACTGTCATGCATTGTCTATGGTGTAATATCAATGAATAAAAATTGATTTACTAATTAATTGTATTTTAAAAGTAAACATCCTAAAATGCATTTTCTCCTAAAATAAAACATTGTTTTAACATCATGTACATCAGGCCTACTCTATATGATAAGACTTGAAACAATATACCCACTGCAATGAAGGTTCGAAAATATTCCAGGAATATGCCCAATCATCTAGGAATAATCCGCCTCATTCTAGGAATATTAATTGGGAATATTCCATAGAATAATCCTCTAAAACTTCCAAGGCCATCTGAGAACATTCCCAGTGAATATTCATTGGGAATATTTCATAGAATGATCCTCTACAACTTCCAAGCAACATCTTGAACATTCCCAGTAAATGTTCTTTTAAAAAACATTCACTGGGAATGTTCAAGAACTTCTTTATATTCAAAAAACAATAAATAATTTTCTTTTTCTACAAATTGGTTATATTCCAGGAATATGCGCTATCATCTAGGAATAATCCGCTTCATTGTAGGAATATTCATTGGGAATATTCCATAGAATGATCCTCTAAAACTTTCAAACACCATCTAAGAACATTCCCAGTGAATATTCATTAGTTTAGATGCAATACCTTTTACCGTTGCTTACCCACGCCTGATAACTATACATACCGATAGGTTAATAATATCAGTTGGAGATGTGCGTCTGTGATGGCACAAAACAATGATTAGAGTGGGACTGATCTACTCAGTAACTAATAATGGCTAGTTAAGTTAAGTTCCTGGGTATAAGTGGCCATAAGGGCTATCCCCAAATTATATTAAGGTACATTCTACTAACAATACTATAGTCTTACATAAGTCTTATGCATGCCGCTAGATGGAATATTCTTTTTATGATGACTAGGTTAACCAAAAAGCGGACATTTGATTACGCCAGTAATATTCCTTGAAATATTCTTTTAACAATACTTAAGTCTTATGCATGCCGCTACATGGAATATTCTTTTTATGATGACTGGGTTAACCAAAAAGCGGACATTTGATTACGCCAGGAATATTCCTGGAAATATTCTGGTACGCTTGGAATAATCCTGGGAATATTCCTGAAATGTGCAGGGAATGGGATTTTGCAGTCTGGGTAAACAAGGTAAACTTTTAGGTTTAAAATAATTAAGGTAAAAATAACTTTTTAAACGATGTATACGTCTCATAAACTCAGTTTTTTAAATAAAATATTAACGACGAGTCTTAAATAAGTACACTTTATAAAATACATAATTTATGTATTGAAATATGTGAAACAGGTAATAAATTTATAGTTATAATAATTTATAGAAGTAGAAGTGGATAAATAAATTTATAAGTAGCGAACAAAACATTTCATTATTTAGCATTAGTTGGCCATTCAATTTCGAATCTCGATTTTGGGGTGGATTAACCATCAAGTCTTAACAGTAACAGTTTCAGTGTTTCTATCTTTCTCCTGCTTTTTCTCTATTTGCCGTCTCCGTCCAACAATTCAACCCTATCTCTCAAAATACAAACTGGACATTGCGAATCTAATTAGAATCTTTGCTCATGCGTACCCCTACCCCCTTTTTCTGAGGGTACAATTCCAAAACCCAAACGGTAGGGGTAAGTTGTCCGTTCCAGCGGACTCGACGCTCGACTGTTTCAGTAGCCAACTCGATTCCGTCAGCTCGCAACTGGAAAGCGCTGCCGTCTCTCCGCAATCGCACTCTCCATGCTTGTTTTGCCGCGCTTTACAAAACACGATCTTCGACTGTTTTTGCTGCGACTCTTCGCACCCGACATCTAAAGACTTTTAACCACAGAACTTTGCAAGTGATCAGCACGTGATTTTTGTGATCAGTGACTATTAATAGTTGAATTATGTACGATAAACAGTTTTATTGTTGTTAATTGGTATACGACAAATTTATCCAAACCCAGCGAGTTTCTTCAGGAAAAACGGCTCGACTCTCCAGAAACATTTCTTTCAATACGTATTTTAATTCTTTTTCTGGTATGTACATTCAATGTGTATATTTAAATAGATGACAATATAAGATCATTCTTATTTCTTTTAATATAAACTATTTATTATTTAAATTGCTTTTAAGTAGCTTTTAGTGCATGATTTTATTGTTGGTCAATTAAAGCTAAATTGTGTTTTGCGCCTTATTGCTTCATTGACGTTTTATGTTAATTGAATTTTTTATTGCTGCGCTTGTTATTTAAAATTCTATTATAAGAAATGTCACTTTAACCCGACTTTGTAAATATATAATTAGTATTCTTTAAATTTTCTATACGGGGCAATCTTTTAAATATCGCTATACACTAATAAATAAAAAATATATTTTTAATAATTTCGGTAACGCGGCAATTGTTAATTTTTAAATTTACCCCGGTGTTTATTATGCAACATAAAATTTAGTAGGTATTAGTTTAAAAGCTTCATAACAGCCTTTAAATGTTTTAGAAACACTTTAACAGCATGCTTCTCTAATAATATAATATATTATGTATCAAGTTTTATAAACGCGATTTTAGTTACGAGTTTAATTAGGTACGACCTAAGCTTGCGATCTACCACGAACACAACAATAAATTTAGAGCCATTTTTATTTGTTAAACATTTGACATCTGACAACTGTCACCCGAATTTTACCTCACTTTTTCCCAATTTATAATATAGCCCGTGACTAAAAAGCCCAAAAGCCACTGTTGCTAACTTCATCCCGTGACTAAAATGCCATAAAATAGGAGTAGATAAACACATTTTTTAGTAGCGGCATTGTATATTAACAAAATACCTTTTTTTTACTATTTTTTAACTAATTATTATTTGATTATTTTAAGATTAGTCACCAACTTTGACTGTTTCTGATGGTAAAAAAGTTTATCACAAAACAGCAACACCAAAAAGAGACTCCCATTCAACTTTAAAATATTAATTATTAAAATATATATATATTGTCAAAATGCAAATGACATTTGTATTTATGTCTATAAATTTTATAGACATAAATACAAATGTCATTTGCATTTTGACAACCCATAGTCCTGAGTTCAATCCCCAGTGACATCATAACTTGTTTAAATTTAAATCTACTAATTTGACTACCTATTTCCTTTAGTGAAATTTGAATAATTATAATAATTATTATAATATAGTGACTGCTTTTACACTATTACTTTTATTCAAACATAGCTAAAAATCAGTCATTTTTGACTAACTCATGTTAAGTCTTTATTTATTATTGACCTCAAATTCAGTTTAATGCATTAAATTGGATTGAATATATAAATTCTTTAGTCAGGCCTTCTTTTTGCTCTTTATGTGAAAAGGTATTTTATTTTTGTTATTTAAATATTTTGATACTATTTATTTTTAATAAAGAATAAAAAATTTGTTAATAATAACAAAGTTGTGAGGGTTTTAACTTAAAACTTTTAAGCTTTATTTTTTAGTCCAAAACTGTCAAGAAATACCACTGTTAACCAGATTTTGCAGTGTAGATGCCTTCTTTATTTTGTTTTTAGATGTGTGGTAATAAGCTTAGTAAGAACAAAAGGTTTTTAAAATTTCTTTGACAGAAAACAAAACTTTTGTAAATTTTTGTATATTTCTGGGTATTTAATTTCAACCCTTATATAATACCCCGTTGTATGGCGAGTTCGAGAAAATCATATAAACATTTTTTTAATTTGATTAATACTATATTTTTATTATTTATTATTTATATTATTTTTATTTCGTTTTTTAGTGGATAAATAAAATTACATTTTTTTTCCAAAGCCAAAAATAAATGATTCTTAAATAACATGACAAGCAAATATTAAAACGTTTTTTTTTAATGCGAAATTACCAATTGGTTAACATGCCCAATTTTAACTTAAATTAAATTAAGTATTAATAATAATAAAAGATACTAAATAAATACTTATTAAGTGTAAAACTGATAATATACGATTAAATGCAGAACATTTAGGTATAATTACTTTTTCAAAGTTTAAAATAATTGCAAATTAATTTTTAGGTCGAACGTTGTTTACTAAATTGTATTGAATATAAAATAAATAATATTCATTTCACGTTTAAATAATAAATTTTGATTAATTTATTACTAATTTTAATGTTCATCGTTATTAATTATTAATAATAACCTACTTAATATTCTTACGTAAAAAGCTTAGAAATCGGTATAATTTTAATCAAACCCGAACCAATTTAGTAATTGCCCACCGCGGACTCCATACGGCCAAAAACCTAATTAAATTAATAATGGGTTATGATAGTCCTACCAACCGGTAGGATATAAATCATGGAAAATAAATTAAACACACCCATTGTTTTATTATTTTTAATTATTTATTTTTGGTATTTTTTATGAATCACGCTCTACGTACTAATAAGCGCTTTATTTTAGAGTAGGTGAGTGACAAGTTCTTATGAATCATATTAAAAGACTTTTATTCTTGTATTAATCAAGAAAATTTGCATTTATTGTTTTATATCTTTCATAAAAAAACTATCAACAAAAGGTATGGTATATGGCATAAAGTATATGCAAATAACAGCAACATTGTAATTTTATTAGTGTTTAAATTAAGAAAAACTAACAATGCATGTTTTTGAATTTTATATGGGTACGGCAGTTATATCGAATATAAACCCAATTTATTGCAATTGTTACATTTATTGTCGCTCTATTTAAATAATATTTAAGTTTATTAGCAAGTATTTAAACGATATGTGTATTTTATTGTGATTAATATTTATATGAATATGCATTAATGGATTCTTGTAAAAAATATTAAATTAATAATATTTTTATAATTATATTATTATATTTTATAAAACAAAATGCCTTGGCTTCAAAGCGGTTTTTAAAATATTAAATTAGGACAGTGTATTAGTAAATAAACCTTAAAAGTTAACTTTTTAATGCCCAGTAATGGCCAATTCTAAAGAGAAAAAATAAAAAGCTTTAAAGTGCGAGATATTTAAAAAAAATAATTTAGGTATATTTAAGAAGACAAATTACCAAACATTTATATAAAAATTACATTTTTATAAGAAAACGATGAAAACTGTAAAAAAATAAATGTATCTTTTTGCATTTTTGGATTCGACACAAGACCTATCTATTGACACAAAATTTATATTTAAATATATATATATATCAGTAATTTATTAAGCGTTAATTAACTAAATAAAACAATTAATAATACGCTTAAAACCAAGGCCCTCTGCCCACCCCCCTTAGTACGCCACTGCCTATACTTAAACCTAGCAGAAAAAAATATTTGCGTGGCGGAGTAAAGGGGGCAGAGGGGGCGGTCCGCCTCGGGCTCCCGGACTTGGTGGCCCTCAAATACTTAAGTCTCCCATAATCTAATAGGGTAGGTACTATGCTCCACACCTCAAAGTCCCACCACGTGACCTCGTACGGAACACAGTCTTTTAAAAATTTGCACATTTAAGGCTTTTCAGGTTATGTATCTGTCAAAGTAGTCAACGAAAGAATAGTACATTCTGTAACAAGTTTGGAATACAGCATATTCCGCTCGAGGAAAAATTTGACACACGCGCCGAAGGCGAGTGTGACGGTTTTACGAGAGTGAAATATGCTATTCCAAACGTGTTTCAGACATTATTTTCTCTACGACTACGTAAGAATAGTAACGCTTATATTATTTTAAACAGAGAAAAGAAACCAAGCAGTTTTTGACATTTAAGTTTTTTGTATTGTCGAACCATTTTGTGCCGTCACAATTTTATAATGTAAATTATAATAAATTTAAACAAATGGTATGCCTAAATCTTTATTATAATTAAAAATAGTTATTTACACTAATAAAAAAAAATAACATTTTAACAAATACAAAACTAATTTTACAAGTAATCTATGTCAACATCCATTCTTTTTCTACATTTTAAAGGTCTTTTTTTAAACTCTTTGAATCTGTCAAAACTTCAAAGCCGGTATAGTAGGTAACTGGTTTATCATTTTAATATCAAATTTATTATAATTTTGATTTGTATATTTGAAAAACAATAAATATAACTAATTTTTTGTGCCTAAACCTTAATTATACAACTGCTATTATTTTTTAATTAATAAATAATACAGTAATATTTAAATATTTTTAAATTTTTTACGTTTAGTAAACAGCCAGGAGATGTCGTTACTTGTGACCATTCTTAAACAAGAGTAGGAATATTCTCGCACAGTATTGCAGAAAAACATCCTTTCTATGATCAAAAATTACACTAGAATGTTACTATTCTTAAGTAGTCGTAGAGAAATAATATTATGTTTAGGTGTTAAAAATGTTTATGCACGATGACATTATAATATGACAATTATAACAAAAATTCTTTGACGTAAACGTCTTTTTATAGCCCGCGGGCGTTATTATGACCCAGCGGGCTATAATGAAACGTCAAAAATTAAAAACAACAATGTTACACCATTTGATAAATTCGAAGTAAGTTTTTTCGTATAAAGATTTTGATTTTTCCGGCAGTAGGCCGGAATTTTTGGCTTTTTCAGCTGCTTCCTCAATTTCATTCATCTTTAAACTTTAAAACTGACTGATGTCAGTTGTCATTATAATATGACAATTATAACAAAAATTCTTGGACGTAAACGTCTTTAAAAACAATAATATATTAAAAATAATAATATATTAATCGTGAATAAAGTTTTGTATGCATTGCTGGCATAACTGGTTTATTATGCCCTTAAAACATAAATAAATATTAAATCTTTATAACATTATAATGTAGGTACTATGCTCCACACCTCAAAGTCCCACCACGTGACCACGTACGGAACGCAGTCTTTTGAAAATTTGGCATTTAAGGCTTTTCATGTTATGTATCTGTCAAAGTATAGTCAACGAAAGAAATAATATTATGTTTAGGCGTTAAAAATGTTTAAATCTTTATAACATTATAATGTATACAATAAGAATGGACGGTTTAAGAATTTAAGAATATAAATACTGCAT